CTGCCCTGCCCTTGAGGCCTGGCCTCGGGTATGACGGGGGAAGGGGGTAGGGGGAATGGATGGGAGGGCTGCCCTGCCCGCAAAGCCAGGCCTCAGGTGTGACCAGGTTCTGAGAGCAAGAACAGGACCAAGTGGTGGTGCTTGCCATGGTTGGCCTGGGACACCGTTCCTCCGAAGACTGCAGCCTGGGGCTTAACGCCGAGTTGTGGCATCAAACCTGAGCTCCAGCAGGCTAACCTCACTCCAGAGCCCTAGGGAAGGGCCCTTCCTGCTGCTCTGAACTTCTGCCAGGCTCCTCGCAGTGTCATTCCAGCCTCTGCCAGTCCTGGGCTTGAACTAGGGGCTGGGCGCTGTCCCTGAGCTGCTTTTGCTCAAGGCTAGCGCTCTGCTACTTGAGCCACAGCACCACTTCTTGCTTTTCTGTGTATGTGGTGCTGAGGAATCGAACCCAGGGCTTCATGCATGTGAGGCAAGCGCTCTACTATCAAGCCACGTTCCTAGCCCCTGCCTCAGTCTTCACGTGATCTCCTCTTCCTGTTCCTCTTGTGAGTCTTTAGAGACATTTGGCATTGGATTTAGGGCCCACCTAGACCTGGATGAGCTCAACTCAAAAATCATTTACTTTTTTTTGCAAGGGGAGTCTTTGGCCCTGGGGAGTTTTTAGAACTGGGGGCTTTGTGCTTGCTCATTCATCCACTTGCCCGGGACTCCAGTCCTGCTTTTTTTTTGGTCAGCTGTGGGACTCAAACTCTGGGCCTGGGCGCTGTCCCTCAGCTCTTCAGCTCCAGGCTAGCGCTCTACCACTTGAGCCACAGCACCACTTCTGTTTTTCTGGTGGTCTGTTGGAGATAAGTGTTTCATGGACTTAACTGCCCCAGCTGGCTTTGAACCATGATCCTCAGATCTCAGCCTCCTGAGTACCTAGGATTACAGGTGTGAATCACCAGTGCCTGGCTTCCAGTACTGCTTTTTACTGGTTATTTTGGAGATGGAATAAATAAAAAAATTTTTAACCATTTTTTTTCTTTGAGATTAAGTGATTACAAATTTCACAGTATTGTAGGATAGTGATACTTAGCTAAAGTCACAAACACATTTATTTTATTTTATTTTTTCTTTTTCTTCATCTCCAAGTTGTATTTTGTTTTTTTTAAATTTTTTATTGTAAAGGTACTATACGGAGGGTTACAGTTACATGAGTAAGGTAATGAGTACACTTCCTATTGAGCATTGTTACCCCCTCCATTGTTTTCCCCCTACCATCCCTTCCCTCCCTACCTTCCCCAGCACAAACACATTTTAACCTTCACAGGGCGCATTGTCATTACCATAGTCTAAAAAGCTTATGAACTCTACAAACTTTGACACTACGACTATCTTTTCCAGATTGGGTGACATGGATACTCCCTTCCTTGTGCTTAGTGTGCGCCGTGCCCCTCTCTCGTTCCTCCCCTCCCATCGCTGCCCTTGAGTTGCTTGTTCACATTCATCAGTGTCCAATGCAGCCGATGGGCCCCTCTGTTGTATTTTCTAACCCTGATTCTGTGCCCTCCTCCTGGCTTCCCTCAGATGTGACATGTGTATGATGCACCTTGGTCACAATCATCCTTCCGTCACGCTCCACTGCCATTCATCCTTTCCCTTGTCCATTTCCTCCTGTTTCCTAATTCCACTTTCCCATATGTACATTATTATTCCCCTACTCTTCCTATTTGTCTATCCTCTTGGAGATGGAGTCTTAAGAGACTTTTCTGCCTCAAACCTCGATTCTCCGCATCTCCGCCTCCTGAGTAGCTGGGATTACAGGTGTGAGCTACTGACTCTTGGCCTTTCTGTAAAGACCTTTTTTCTATGTCAGGCCACACCCATTGGTTCCTAAGGCTAAAAACCCCATGTCTCTTGGGCTCCACATAGCCCACTAGGTGAGATAACAGGGCTGCTAGGCAGCCTGCCTCACCGCACTGCTGATCACGCGGCTGCCTCCTGCACACGCAGCCTCACAGCCTTGGAGTCCTCAGGGAAGTAGAGCAGGCAGGAAGAAACCTGACTGTCCTGGACAGGCCTGAGAGTGTGAGTGCTGCCAGGGGCTTTGAGGGGCTGCTACCCACATCTGCACAGCAGATCAAGAAGCGTCCACGGACCTGCCCTGATGAGTAGACATAAACAATCACTGGGAGCCATAGGAAGAAAACCCTTACTGAGAAGTCAGCAAAGGTGTAGGTGAATTGATAGACTCAGATAGATTATTGTGCTAAGTGGTTCACACAGGGTGATCAACACAATCTGAAGATGATATTTGAGGAGCACCAGGATTCTTAGCAGTCTTAAAGGAAACATGACTGTAGGGAGAAGCTAGCATACATCCTGTGTCACATTCCTTTCTAACAGAGCAAATGAATAGAGGAACCCACTTTACCAACTATTGTTTCTGGACCCAGTGGTCAGACAGCTCCTCCTCAGCATGGCATCTGAAGGTCTTTAATATCTTGCTCTTGTACTTGTCTGTGTAGGTCTGAGGGCTGTGCTGTTGAGTCACCTCCAGAGGGAACATTTGGAGGGGCTAGGAGGAAGGAATGTCTGTCCTTGGAGCTGACTGAATTAGTTCTTCTTTGTCACAGGCTGTAGCAAGGTACTACTGCGTCCCCAGACCTCAGAGGAGGTGTCCTGCATTCTCAGGTAATGAGTAGTGTACAGCTGAGCAGTACTGGAGGTCTGCACCCAGCCCTTCAGCCCTTGTTGGTGCTTGGGACCTAGCTATGCAGCCTCTGCTAGAGCATCCTGCAGCTCGCCGTGTCATGATTCACTTGATGCCTGGTAGATTCTGCCACCCCGTGCCCCCGCCCCCCACCAGCTGGAGGATTTCTTTCTTCAGATCTCTACCTGTTACAGTCCTTTACGATTTGTACAGTACACACCTTTGCTGGGAGGAGACCTTCTCTGTGATCCTGAGGCACAGTTCAAGGACAGGTGGGCCAGGAACTCAGCTTGCTGCAATGAGATTTTTTTTTGGGTCCGGTTGTGAGGCCTGAACTCTGGGCCTGGGTGCTGTCCCTCAGCTCTTCAGCGCAAGGCGAGCGCTCTACCACTTGAGCCACAGTGCCACTTCCAGCTTTTTTTCTTTTTGCTTATGTGGTGCTCAGGAATTGAACCCAGGGCCTCATGCATGCAAGGCAAGCGCTCTACCACTGAGCCACCTTCCCAGCCCACTGCAATGAAATTTAAGGGAGCAGGTGCAACAGGGTGCTGGTAGCTCATGCCTGTAATCCTAGCTACTCAGGAGGCTGAAATAAATCTGAGGATTGTGGTTCGAAGCCATCATGGGCAGGAAAGTCCCTGAGACTCTTATTTGTAATAAACTATTCAAAAAAAGTTGAAAATGCTGCTGTGGCTGTACTAATGGTAGAGCACTAGCTTTGAGCAAAAGCAACTCAGGGACAGCACCGAGGTCCTGAGTTCAAGCACCCAAGACTTGCACACACAAAAAGATCAAGGGCAGTGGGAGGTGGGGGTTGTGTTCTGACTTTCCTGAGCACTGTGGGGTCTTTCCAGGCCCCATTTAGGACTTTCTTTGTTTCTTTCTTTGTTTCTTCCTTCCTCCCTCCCTCCCTTCCTTCTTTCTTTCCTTCTTTTTCGCTTTCTTTCCTTTTTTGCCAGTCCTAGGGCTTGAACTCAGGTTCTGGGTGCTATCCCTGAGCTTCTTTTTGCTCAAGGCTAGCACTGTACCACTTGAGTCACAGTGCCACTTCCAGCTTTTTTCTGTGTATGTGCTACTGAAGAATCAATCCCAGGGCTTCATGCATGCTAGACAAGCACTCTACCACTGATGCACATTCCCAGGTCCCCTTTGGGACACTCTGCCCTTAAAGGTGAGATTTTTGAGGACATTACAGTCAAGCTGCATGTATCATCTGGGGACAGGGTCAGCCTCCATCTCCTTGTGCATAGCTTTAGAGTGGATTCTGCCTTAGAATCCTCACAGCATGGTTGAAAGGAACCCCTAATGAGGCTTCAGGCAGGAGATGGCCTGGCTGGGCTGGGTAGTAGAAAGGTCTAGAAACAGGATTGGCTTTGGGGGCAGGTATAGCTCTTGGGGATGGTGAGGGTGTCCCCCCTGCAGCACTTAGGAGTGAGGGTCCTGACCGGGTGACCCTCCTGCACCCTTGGGGATGGTGGGGGTGAGGGTCCTGACTGATGACCCTCCTGCACCCTTGGGGATGGTGGGGGTGAGGGTCCTGACAGGGTGACCCTCCTGCACCCTTGGGGATGGTAAGGGTGAGGGTCCTGACCGGGTGACCCTCCTGTACTTGTCTAGGCACTGCTACAAGAGGAACCTGGCTGTGAACCCACAGGGAGGGAACACGGGCATGGTTGGGGGCAGTGTCCCCGTCTTTGATGAAATCATCTTGTCCACGGCCCTCATGAACCAGGTCATCAGCTTTGATGAGGTGTCTGGTAAGCCTGTGCTGCTGGTTTGGTCCGAGCTGTTGGGGTTGTCCTGCCTTGGCTACTGTGGTTGTGCACAGACAAGCAAGTGTATGCTGGCATATGTGCATGGGAGAGAACCAGCAGCTGGAGCTTGGTCAGACAGCGTGCCACACCCAGGCCCTCTGAGTGTGTCACCACGGGTGGCGTGGGTGGTTTGGCCTTGTCATTCTGACCCCTTGACACTCCAGCTTTTGGCGGTGGCAGTGCTTCCTGTGACATGCATGGCACCCCATGGCTCAGCATGGCAGTGTGTCTGCAGCCTCTGGGCTGCCCTTCTCCAGCAGACACGGGCATTTGAGTGGGATGGTGCTTGTGGCGGGGCTCCTGAACTGCAGGGTGCCAGGCAGCACCCTCCCCTCACTGCACACCAGCGTCCAGACATTACCGGGTGCCCCTGGGGGACAGAGGTGCTGCAGCCCAGGATCACCGTCCTGTCCTGGTCCTGTGTGTACGTGTACACATGGACATTTTTCCTTTATTTTTTTCTTTCCAATTTTTCTTATTTTCCACTGTTAACGAAAACGGTAACTTTGGGTCTGAATGCCTTTGCTTGGAAGGGTAATGGTGGGAGGGGCTCTTCCTCTTTTCTGGCCCTGAGGTAGAAGTTTCTTCTGGCTGGTTTACATCTAGAGGGTGGCCTGGTGTGGGTCCCTCGGCAGTGGCTGTGAGCCATGGTTGTTTGGTTTGCTCTGCAGGAATTTTGGTCTGCCAGGCGGGTTGTGTGCTAGAGAAGCTGAGCCAGTTTGTACAGGAGCGCAACTTCATTATGCCGCTGGACCTGGGAGCCAAGGGCAGCTGCCACATTGGGGGGAATGTGGCGACTAATGCAGGTGGCCTACGGTTCTTGAGATATGGCTCGTTGCGTGGGACCGTCCTGGGCCTGGAAGTGGTAAGTGGGGACTCAGCGTTCTGCAGCGCCAGCTGTTCAGGTGTCCTGGCTCCAGGCGCAGGCCCTCGGCAGTGGTGCCAGTACTTAAGGCCATCTTGGTGGGTTGGGTATGTCTCCCATCAGAGGTCTCAGCATAATGGCCTTTGATTCCAGGCCCCAGAGACATGTGGTTGTACCTGGCCCTGTGCCCTGGGGTGCCCTTCCTATGTGGCACATCCACTGCTTCCTGGTCCATGTGAGGAGCACTAGGGACACTAATCATGCAGCCACATTCTGCCTGGGCCAGAGCAAGAAGGAAGGTCAGCCCAGGCCAACTTGGTATGGACTCACCTTGTCACTACCTTCCCTTCCAAGACCCTTGTAGGCCGGGTGCTGGTGGCTCACGCCTGTCATCCTAGCTACTCAGGAGGCTGAGCTCTGTGGGTCATGGTTCGAAGCCAGCCCGGGTAGGAAACTCCATGAGACTCTTACCTCGAGTAAACCACCAGAAAACCGGAAGTGGTGCTGTGGCTCAAGCGGTAGAGCACTCGCCTTGAGCTGAAGAGCTGAGGGACAGTGCCCAGGCCCAGAGTTCAAGCCCCGTGACCAACAACAACAACAACAACAAAAAGACTCTTGTAGTTCATTTCCTGGTAAATTAACCAACCATGAATGTCATGTCTCACAATTCTAAAGTGCCAGACCTTTTGCCTTATTTACCTAGGTGGACAGAGCAAATAGCCATGTTAACCACTAGCTATGTCCGCCAGTTACTCTAGGCACACGCTGCGACCTCATATTCTGGTAAGCCTCTACTCCAGTGCCCACCAGCCAGGCCTATGCAGGCCTTCATACAGTGGGTCCCAATATGGGGAGGCCTCAGTGCAGTTCAATGGTGTTCTGACTGCTTCCCCTGCCGTGACCCCCATTGCTCAGCTGTAGCTTCTAGTGGGATGGCTGGAGAAAGGGGAAGAGGGAGGGAGGAGCTGGAGAGATCGCTGGACACCTGGCTGCCGCTGAAGGCCTTCTCTCCATTAGGTACTTGCTGATGGCACCATCCTAAACTGCCTGACCTCACTGCGGAAGGACAACACAGGCTATGACTTGAAACAGCTGTTCATCGGGTCAGAGGGCACCCTGGGAATCATCACAGCTGTGTCCATCCTCTGTCCACCCCAGCCGAAGGCTGTGAATGTGGCTTTCCTTGGTACGCTCCCTCAGCCTACTTCCAGGCTGGTCAGTAGGGGATGTGGTAGCTGCTCCGAACACCGCCGCTACTGCCGGTTCCCTGGCAGAGCTGTTGGTATGAGGGTGGTCTTTGAGCTCACAATCCAGGGACCTACCTAGGGTTTGGCCTCTCCTGGTCTGAAACCAAGTGATTTCCTGTCTCTGTCAGAACACAGTTTCTTCTCCCTGTCTGTCCTCCACGGCTCTGTGCTCTGGTTTAAGTGGCGAATAATGTGGGTTCTGAGGGAAGCAGTGTACCCTGGCACAGGCCCCAGTGTACTGATGTGTCAATCACCATGTCCTGTCTTCAGTGGGAGAGATGATTCCTGGTCTCAGTTCCTAGCTCAGACACCCATGCCAGGGTCCTGTTGCCAGCCACTCTGCGAACTAATGAAGGGTAGAGAAGGTAGACCATGAGCCTCTTGTTTTGTTCAGGGTCCATCTCCTTTCCCTGCTCTCAGATTGTGTGGTTATTGCCTCTTCAGCCAACCAGTTCAGAAATTACACAGACCACAGTCCTTAGGTGACCAGTTTGTGCCTGTCCTCTTGGGAGACACAGTAAACTTGGGCCACTGACTCGCCTGTTTTTGTCATGTGTCTTGGTTCTGTCTTCAAAGTCTGTCATCATCATTCTTGTTATGGGCTGCTTTTTTTTTTCTTCTTGTGCCAGTACTAGGGCTTGGGTGCTGGTCCCTGAGGGTTTTTTTTTCTTTGCTCAAGACTAGAGTTCAACCACTTGAGCTACGGCTCCACTTTTGGCTTTTTTAGTACTTAATGGGCGAATGAACTTTCCTGCTGGCTTTAAATCACAATCCCCAGATCTCAGCCTCTTGAGTTAGAATTACAGGTGTAAGCCACTGGCACCTGGCTTTATGGGCTCCTTTTTAACTCTTTATCTTCTTATATCATGTTTTGCTGGGGATTGTTTTCTCTGTAAATGCGTTGTGATTATTTCTGGTAGTCTAGGTAAGCTGGTTCTTGCTTATGTACCAGTGTCCCTGTGTGCTTGGCTGTCTTTGAAGTGTCCCAGAAGAAATGGTATGTATGTGTGTGTGGCAGCCCTGGGACTTGTAACTCGGCCACAGTCATGGTGCTGTCCCTATGCTTATTTTTATTTTTTGTTATAAAGGTGATGTATAGAGGGGTTACATGTTTCTGAGCTTTTTGCTCAAAGCTGGAGCTCTACCATTTGAGCCACAGCTCTACTTTTGGCCTTTTGGTGGTTAATTGGAGATGAGTCTCACAGACTTTCTTGCTCAGGCTGGCCTTGATTGAGCCTCAGTCATCAGATCCAGCCTCCTGAGTAGCTAGGATTACAGGTCTGAGCCACCAGTGTCCGGCTCTTTAGGGGTTTGAGGTTGAGGGTGCTTTCCTCTAGAGAAGGTTTGCAGTTCTACCAAGTGACCCCAGTCTTTCCCTTGAAGGGTAGGCACATTGATCTCCCAACACAGGATCTTTGGTGCTGACCACCTGCTGACATAGCTACTTGGTTCTTTTCTGCCTCTGCACTTAATGGTTAGCGCCCCTTGGGCTTGCGCTAGCTACTCCCCTGCTCTGAGTCATTCAGAGACCACCGTAAATATATGTTGGATGATTTCTGGAGAAGAATAAGGTCTGAGAACCAGGCTTTAACAAGGCTTTTGTCTGTGGTCCTCTTCGCTGGCTTTCCCAAGGGTGTCTCCAGCTTCTAATGTCAACCCAGGTGCTGTATGGCAGTTCTGAGGCACATTTTCTTTTTTCTTTGGGCTTGAGCTCTGGACCTGAGTGTTGTCCCTCAACTCTTCAGCTCCAGGCAAGTGGTCTACCACTTGAGCTACAGCACCACTTCTGGTTTTCTGGGCTGGCTTTGAACCGTGATCCTCAGATCTCAGCCTCCTGAGTAGCTAGGATTACAGGCGTGAGCCACCAGCGCCCAGCTAGGCACATTTCTTTTCTTTCTTTTTTTTTTTTTTTTGTCAGTCATGGGGCCTGAACTCTGGGCCTGGACGCTGTCCCTCAGCTCTTCAGCTCAAGGCTAGCGCTTTACCACTTGAGCCACAGCGCCACTTCCGGCTTTTTCTGCTTGTGTGGTGCTGAGAAATTGAACCCAGGGCTTCATGCATGCAAGGCGAGCGCTCCACCACGGAGCCACCTTCCGAGGCCTGACACACATTTTCTACCCAGGTCTGGGCGTGGTAGGGCATGGGCTTCATTCTGTGGCACGAAGTCTCTGCTTCCTGAGGTCGTCCTGCTTGCTGTTTCCTCAAGTAGGGTCAGCACCATCCCGTTGTGGGGGGGCTCTGGGTCCCCTGTCCATTCACTGTGACCCCGCTGCAGGCTGTCCGGGCTTTGCTGAGGTTCTTCAGACCTTCACCACCTGCAAGGGAATGCTGGGGGAGATCCTGTCTGCGTTTGAGTTCATGGATGCAGAGTGCATGCAGTTGGTGGGACAGCACCTCCACCTGGCCAGCCCAGTGCAAGGTACTGGTCCCTGTACCGCAGGACAACACCCCCCTGCCCCTTCCGTGCTGTGGGGTCCTGGGTGCCAGCTCCCTGGGCAGCACTCCGTGACCACTGGGCAGTACCAGTAGGAAAGCTGTTCTTAACACCGCTGTCTCCTTGGTGGGAGAATGAGCTTTGATACTTCCTGGAGGAAGCGTTAATGTAGTGCATCCTTAATAAACTTACTTTATTATTATAGAGTGATGTACAGAGGGATTACAGTGATAAGTCAGGTAATGAGTACATTTCCTTTCCTACAGTGTCTCTGTCCCTCCCTCCCGCCTCCACCCACCAGTTGTGTAATTCACTTTGATCAGTGTCTAGTGAGATCCACTGCTGCAGTTTTCACCCTCTTTCCCTTGACTTAATGGAGTGTTAAGGAGTAGAGAGCTCAATCAGTTGATTGCAATAAACAGAAAAGGAAACTCACAATAACCTTGAAAATGTACATTTAAAATGTTCCTAAATAATGTATATTTGAATTAAAAACAAGCAACTTTTGCCAGGTGCTGGTGGTTTAGTCTTGTAATCCTAGCTACTCAGAAAGCTGAGATCTGAGGATCGCAGTTCAAAGCCAGCCTGGGCAGGAAAGTTTGTGAGACTCTTATCTCTAATTAACCACCAGAAAACTGGAAGTGGTTCTGTGGATCAGAGTGGTGGAGCCTTAACTTTGAGCTCAGGGACAGTACCTGGGTCCCAAGTTCAAGCCCATGACCAACAAAAAAAAAGCTTAAGTAGTAGATTCTTAGTTAAGTGTAGGTCATTCTTAGGTAAATGAGGCCATCCTAGAGCACCCTAAGTGGCCTCCCCCCAGGCCTGGGGGCTGTGGGCTGAGGGCTCAGAGTTGCCCCATTCCACTGCGGGTCACTGGGAGGCCTGCAGCTAGACCCAGAGTGAGGCTGGGCGTGAGCGGAGCAGGGCTTTGTGGAGTCTCCTTTGGATTTGTTTGTTTTCCAGGGAGTGTATTTTCTCTTAGAATAGCACGCTTATATTCAATCCATCTAAAATTGAGCCTACCCAAAGAGCTGCCTGAGCTTCACCGGCATCAGTGCAGCCTCTACCCTGTGACTAAGAGAGTTCTGATTCTGGGCATTACATTAGGCTGGGCTGGTGCTGACTGCATCTTCTGCTCCCTTACAGATAGTCCGTTCTACATCTTAGTTGAGACCTCGGGCTCCAATGCAGGACATGATGCTGAGAAGCTGGGCAGCTTCCTGGAACAGGCGTTGAGCTCTGGCCTGGTAACCGATGGCACCATGGCCACTGACCATAGGAAAGTCCAGGTGCTGTTCACGGCCCTCCCTCCCTTCTGACTTCCCTCCCTCCTCTCAGCTGGAAGGCATAACCTGGCCAGCAAAGTCAGGGTATGTGTGTGGCCAAGATGTCACTGGGCATGGATAGAAAACCTCTTTCAAATGAAAAGTGCTTCTTTTCACTAATATTTAAAAAACTTCCCCTCTGCCCTGACCGGCAAGCTGCAGAGTGAGTCCAGCCCCACGGACTTGCCCTGTAGCCAGTGTTCTGGTGCAACCCCCGTCTTGTTTGAATGTAGGGGCAGAAGGAATTGTGAGGGCTGTGGGCAGGGAGCCTGTGAGTCCAGTGTGCCCCAGGACAGAAGACATCCTGAGGAAAGAAGAACTCCTGTTACCAGGAAATGACGTGGTTCTTGTGGGGCGGAGGACGGGAGGTAGCCCTGTGGCCACCCTCACTGGTAGGGTGGTAGGAGCTGGGGTCAGCTTCGCTGGGCCCTGGGCGATAGGAGCTTTTCCTTTCCCTGGCTTGCCCCTGTGTCCCTCTTCAGAGAAGGGCGTAAGATCAGGAGGGCGCCTGCGCCTGCAGGTGATAGTGGCCTGGCCAGAGCTGCCCGTGGTGGAAAGGGGTCTGTGTTTTAGAGACTGAACTTAGCTGTTCTGAGAAGGGGAGGAGAGGAAGGTGCAGTGTGAAACACATCAGCCTTTGGCTTTTTTTTTTTTTTTTAATTAACAAATATTTTCTTCTTTTTTGTGTGTCTGTTGTGGGGCCTGAACTCTGGGCCTGGGTGCTGTCCATCAGCTCTTCAGCTCAAGGCTAGCACTCTACCACTTGAGCCACAGTGCCACTTCTGGCTTTTTCTGCTTATGTGGTACTGAGGAATCGAACCCAGAGTCTTATGCATGCAAGACAAGCGCTGTACCACTGAGCCACCTTCCCAGCCCCTTAACAAATAATTATTATATGCACTGAAGTCTTCCGTGTAAGTAATGACAAAAATTACCTTGTACCGAGTGTTTCTGGGTACCTTAGGCCTCATTCTGAGTGATGGGAGGCTGCCTTTGTGTGATAGCTTAATTTCAGTTTGTGGTGACAGATACACTCCAGCTCGGGTCTTCTGGTCTGCAGGGTGGTGCCGCCTCCAGGGGTGTTGATTTTCCACTGTGGTCTGTGTACTCTCAGCCGCTCTCTCCTCCCTGGCGCCCATGTCCACAGACGGTGTGTCAGCAGAGCATGTTGTAGCACTGAGCTGTTCTCAGCCCAGGACTAACACACAAAGGCTCCCTTCCTGGTCTGGTCGTGCCCGCATGCCACACCATGTGCTTCCTCAGCGTCCTCCCCACTTGTCCTTCCAGGGGGAAGAGATGGGCAGACTGCAAGACGCATGCGGTCCTGCTGGAGCGGCTGTGTTCTGAGGCATCTGGTGGCCAGGACAGATTGGGGGCTGGTAGATGTGCCGTGTTGGGGGGGAACAGGGCAGCAACTGTTCCCAGTCTGTCTCCTTTTCTTAGGTCCTTGTCCCCCCAGTCCCTCCACGTCCCGGTCCAGTCTGGACTCCTGGCTCTCAAGAGTCAGTACAGGAGCGGCCTGCTGGCATCAGCTGGTTTTTCCACCAAGTCACATGAGTCTTATGGTGTTGAGGCCTTCTGACCCCATCACTCTTGGCTAGGTCCTCCAGTGCTTCCTGGGAAGGGTACCAGGGAGTCTGAGCCCCTCGCACCCTGCTCCACACGTATACTGGTGCTGGGCCTGCCCAGGGTGCAAACACCCTTTCTCAGGTCTGCAGTTGAGCCAGTCAGATGTGGTCATGCATGACACCAAGGTGAGTGACTTGAAGGGGTCACTTGGCTGGCGCCTCTTACTGCCGGAAGCCTTGGGGAGGTGCTGTGCTGTCTTGCTTCTGGTTCTTTCCAGAATGTGTTGGCTTTCTGATACGGCGTGTTGCCTGCCTCCCTCCGCATGTCCGCTTAGTCGCCAACACATGCTGTATGTCTTCCTGCCCTGTAAGGACCAGGCACCCCACTGGCTGGACTGCAGACACTGCCCATGTGCTCAGAGGGCAGTGAGCCCCGAGGAGTGGGCCGGGGAGGGTGCAGCACAAATGGGGGCTATGGAGAGGGTTTTGATCAGCACCCCAGTGAGGCAAGCGCATGCATAGTCCAGAATGTTCCGGAGGTGGAGGACTGAAGCAGAGTGTCGGGGACAGGTGGAAAGCAGAATGGGCATGAGGCTGTGGTGGAAGAGCCTTGGGCAGTAGTGTCTGGGCACCTCCGGGGCTAGGCTTGTCTGCGTCAGAGGTTGGCTGGAGGGAGTTGTGGTGGTTGTGTGTGGCGTGGTTGTAATAGAGACACCTGGGAGATTTGGGTCCTGCTAGATACTCTGGTTATGAAGGCCACGCACAGTGTATTCTTTAGATTCAGCATGGTGTGGGTTATGCTTTTCTTTTAGCTTTTAGATACCTCATTTGGTAGATTCCTGAGATTACAGGGTTTCTTCTGGGCCGGCACAGGGATTGAAGTCAGGTTGGGCAGTATTGCTGGCGGGGTGGCTGTGTGGTAGAGATGAGTGGGGTTCTGTTCCTCCTCGCGCCTCAGATTCTAAGAGCAAGTGAGGACCAAGCAGGCCCTGGAGTGGCCATTTGGGTGAATTAACTACTTCCCCTTACCCCTCCTGCCAACCTATTCTTTTTTGGTCAGTTCTGGGGCTTGAACTCTGGGCCTCAGCACTGGCTCTGAGTTTTTGTGCTCAAGGCTAACACTGTGCTACTTGAGCCACAGCTCCACTTACTATTTTTATAGTTCAGTGTAGATGAGAGTCTCATGGACTTTCCTGCCTGGCCTGGCTTTGAACCACGATCCTCAGATCTTAGTCTCCTGAGTAGCTAGGATTACAAGCGTGCACCACTGGCACCCAGCTGGTCCGCCTACTTTCCTTCCCCACTCTGGCACTCAGTGCTCCTTGGGTGCTTCTTCTCCCAGGCCTTCCAGACACCCAGGATTCTGCATATCCAGTCCCTCTATCTGCCCACTCTTCCATGTCTTACCTGTCTGACCCGGACAGGGCCAGGGGCCCTTGCCCTTGTCATGCAGCAGCCCAGCTACCCACCTGCGCAGCAAGACCTGATCTGTATCTGCTCTGTGTCCCGCTGAGTTCCCTGCAAGGAGGCTGCCCTGGAGCAAGCCTGTGGTGTAGTTCTGGTCCCGTGTCCATTCTGAGACAAGCTACAGGCTCCAGGAAAGCCCAGATCAAGTAGCACGGTGGTAGTGATCGTTGCATGGGGTGCTGTCTCCTCTCACACCTAGGCTCTGTGGGCCCTGCGGGAGAGGATCACAGAGGCGCTGAGTCACGATGGCTACGTGTACAAGTATGATATCTCCCTCCCCGTGGAGCGCTTCTATGACCTTGTGATCGACTTGCGTGCCCGCCTTGGCCTGCAGGCCAAGCATGTGGTGGGCTACGGGCACTTGGGTAAGCAGTATGACTGCCCACCACCCCTTTGCAGACGGTAGACAGGCTCTGTCCAGTGACAGCGGGGGCCTGGCCTTCGGGGCAGCCCGGTCTTTGTGTTACTGTCGAGTGCATTGGCACGGCAGCTGGCCCCGGGAGGCCAGATCACGCCTCCGAGTCGCTCTTTGCCCAGCCGCCTCTGAGGAATGCAGGGTGGCAGAGCTGGTTCCACACCATTTGGCTGCACTCCCAGGAGGGAAAAGTTCATCCTCTGAGTTCCAGGCACCTTGGGTGCTGGGGTGCGTGGGTCTGTGGTGTGTCTGTGGAACATGGAGCTCCTGCTCCTGGTCTCAGAGCGCTGGGGCTCACCTGCCTAAACTGTGTGCGGTTGAAGGTGTGCCAGGCCTGGTTGGTGGAGGCGCTGCATGCGCTGTTACGGGCCTCCCTGGTGTGGAGAGATGTGCTGGGGAATCAAACCCAGGGCCTCATGCATGCGAGGCAAGCACTCTGCCACTAAGCCACCTTCCCAGCCCTCATTACCTTTTTCTAGTTTTAGAAATTAAGCAATAAGCTTATTTTCTGTCTCTTGTCTAATGTATGCATTTAAACTCCTCCCACAAGCTGGGTATCACGTGTCTAACCCTCACACACGCCCTGTCTCTAGGGGATGGCAACCTGCACCTGAACGTGACCGCGGAGGCCTTCAGCGAGGCGCTGCTGGGGGCCCTGGAGCCCTACGTGTATGTCTGGACGGCCGAGCAGCGGGGCAGCGTTAGTGCTGAGCACGGCCTGGGCTTCAAGAAGAGGGATGTCCTTGGCTACAGCAAGCCTCCCAAAGCTGTGCAGCTAATGAGGCAGCTCAAGACCCTGCTGGACCCCAAGGGCATCCTGAACCCCTATAAGACTCTACCCGCCCAGGCCTGACCACCCCGTGCCCTGGGCTGGGCTGGAGGCCTTCCAGTGGGTGGTGCCAGCCGCGGCCATGGCGACTGTCCCTCACCAGGGGCTCGGCTGGGACTCCTGGCCTTCTTGCTGACTGGTCCTGAGCAGACTCCCTGCCTGACACCGTGGGTCAGGCCCCCCCTGTGGTCACCCTGGGGACCGGCCTTGTTTGCCAGGCTTGTGAATTCACCCTGTGATGGCTTCTGAAGCCCAGGAGTGCTGGATTGGAGTGGAACTTGGCCATCAGATGGAGTCCTCAGCGTGGTGGCCCTGGTCTGTCAGCCGGACTGCCATTTGCCCCTGTTCTGGCAGGATGGAGGGCAATGGTTTGGCTGTGGTTATCTGATCAGCTTGGCCCTTTTGGATCTGCTCCTCCGGGGAGGTCCCGGTGCTACAGTGAGCCACCACTCAAACCTGTGAGCCCCGGGCTGCCCCCCGCCCCCCAGCACACCGCCCCGCCTGGGCTGAGGAGCTTGAGGTGGCTCAAGCCTTGACCTGTGCTCCGGCATGCCGGCAGGTCGGGCACACGCGTCCTCTCTCTGGCTACCACAACGGTTCAGTAAATGTGAATAATCACAACTTTTTCTTCATCTCCGTTAACTAGGAATCAACCTTGCAACGTGCCAGCGTGTCAGGACCTCCCTTCCACATCCATGGGTTGGTGTCCCTGTCCCTGTCTGCGGGGCTGGGCTCTGGCTGGCGAAGGAAGCCAGCTGGAGGAAGGGCGGTCGCAGAGTGGTGCCGGAGGCCCTTGGCTCCCAGCTGCTGGGCTGAGAGACGGATTTGGGTCCTTCCTGTCCCCCAGGGGTGTCTAGGCCCTGGGGTCCCCTCACCAGAGGCTCTGGTGAGGATGGCTGTGGCCCCCAGCACAGGACAGTTGTGGGGTGCAGATGAGGTGGGCCGCTCCAGCCCACCAAGCAGACGGGCGTGTGGGGGCGCTTGCTGGGGACCAGCAAGCTCCAGCGGCCCTCCTGCCTCACCGGCCCAGAGCTGGCTTAGTCCGCCGAGGCTCCCCCTAGCCGGGTGTGGTGTACGCACGGGACAGGCTGGCACAAAGCTCGGGTAGTGTCTGTCCTTCAAGGTCAGTGAATGGCTCTGGCTCCCGGCCTCAACCTCCGGTTTGTGGGTGGCTTTTCCCTGCCCATCTCTGGCTGTGCACAAAACCTGCTATTCTTGGCAGAATTTGAGTTGCCTGCAGGCCAGAGTGGGTGGCTAACCGAGGGTTTCCATCCGCAGAGTCCACTTCAGCCACTCCAGGCCAGGCCCTGACGCCAAGATGCCGTCCTTGGAGTCTCCCTGGAGGGGCTCACCAGCCCTGGCCATAAGCACTGAATCTGTTGTAGATCCTGCAAGTGGCGTGAAGGGCGGCTCCTGCGGCCTGCGGTGGAGAGCTGGGTCCAGAGCTGGGCCGAGGCCTCAGGCCTCCTGAGCCCCTGCCTGGAGTGCCCTGACCCCGCTTCTCTGGTGGTAGGCGCCTGCCACCCCGTGGTGAACCCTGCTTTTCCTGGGTTTGTGGGCCCTGTCACAGGGGCTCCCAGTGGCCTGGTGAGTTGCTCCCAGGAGGTTTTGGAGGAGGAAGAAGCTGTAGCTGCTGAGCGCAGTGGCCTGGTCCCAGGAGTTACAGTAACTGGGGCCAAGAAGGAGGCAGGAAATGTGCTCAGCACCTCCTGCTAGTGCTGACTGTGCCTTCCTCTTCTGGCTGCAGGGTGTTAGTTCCTGGAGCGCACAGTGGCCTGACAGACCCCATCCGTGTCAGACACACCCCAGACCCCATCCGTGTCACACACACCCCAGACCCCATCCGTGTCACACACACCACAGACCCCATCCGTGTCACACACACCACAGACCCCATCCGTGTCACACACACCACAGACCCCATCCGTGTCACACACACACACCACAGACCCCATCCGTGTCACACACACAC